ACTATATATATATATATATATATAATATATATATATATATATCTATATATATATAATATAGATAATATATCTGTATAGATATATATATATATCATATATATATATAATATTCTAAATATATATGTATATAATATATTATATATATATATATATTATATATATATATTACAATTTCATATATCTATATTTCATATATATATATATATATATATATATAATATATATATATATATAATATATATATATATTATATATACATTTCATATATATATATTTTCATATATTATATATATATATATATTATATATATATATATATATATATATATATAATATATATATATAAATGTCTATATATATATATATATAATATCTATATATATATAATATATATATATATATGAAATCTATAATAATATATATATAATATTATATCCATATAAGTATATATGAAAATTATTATATACATATATATATATATATATAATATATTATATATATTAATATATATATAAATATATAATATATATATATAATATAATATCTATATATATATATTATAATATATATATATCTATTATACATGATTATATGGTCTATACATATATATTATATATATGAAATATTATATCTACTATTCTATATATATATATGTATATTACTATGAAATATATATATTATATATATGCAATATATATATATCTATCATATAATATATATATATCATATCTAATATATATATATTACTCATGTATCTACTATATATGAAATATATATCTTATATATATGACATATATATATATATATATATCTAATATATATATATATATCTAGCTATTGTCATCTCTAATATATATATCTGTATATATCTTCTATCTGTAAAACAAATATATATATACTATATATCTGTAATATTATATAAGCTAGCTGACAATATATAGTATATCTATGAAATAAGATATATCTCTACTTATATATTCATATCTATGAAATATATATAATATATGACATATCTATATTAATATTATTGAATATATATATATAATAATATATAATCTATATTACTATATATATATATATATATATATATATATATAGATATCTATATGCAATATAATTACCTCTATCATCTATAAAATGTATATATTATATATATATATATATCTATATATCTTATATGTATATATATTATATATATATATATATTGAAATATATACTATATGAAATATATGAAATATATGAAGATATATTTCATATCTTTCATATATTTCATTATTTCATATATATATTATATATTTATATATATATATCTATATATATATATATATATATATATATATATATATATATGATATATATATACATTCTTGTAATGACAATTTGTTTACTTACTGGAAGTGTCTAAAAAACATTGTGCTGGCTGTTCAACAAAAACTATCTATCCCATTACATTAAATTATAATTCCTTCATGTCATTGTGGCTATGCTAAGTATTATTAATATTGGAACTGCAGATATTTACCGTGCTCCGTTTATATTATTTCTATTTGTTCCATAACTGGCGGCAGGCATAACCATCACACATATGCTGACAGATCCACAAGATGCTCTACTAGGAACTTTTTCCCCGCCTTGTACCTTCTTCTTTCTTCTTTCTTCTTTATAGGGTTTTAGACATCTTTTTCTTTATCTTTCTGTGGAAAAATATTCACGAATGAACTTCGGCTCCGCGGAAGGTTTGGTTTTGGACGTTTTGTTCACATACAGCTGCCTCTCCTACTTCGGACACGCAATGACTTCGGCTTTATAAACAAACACTGTAATTTATTCTGATAGTATGAGGTAATTTACATATTGCACCTGCTATTTCTTTCATAATCTGGCATGTTCCGTCCACTGTCCCCTGCTGTGAGGGCAAGAGCACGTGGCGCCTGCAAACGTTTTTTCTCCTGCGGGATGTTAAGGAGCGCCGCCCGGACTGGACTGCCGCAGCTTTGGGCCGAAGCCGTAGGAGCCTTAGTGGAACCGACCGCCTCGCAATGGTGAAGAATCCTGCCCATCTTCCTTACGACCGTCATCTGCAAATTCATTTTATTAACTAAGGCGTTAACCTTTGCTCCGGGTTTTGTTTGGGGATCTTCAGCAAAAGCTCTTTTGGGGGGGGAAAATTTAAACACATTTGATAGCTGATTGTCCAACAGCCATATAAAAAGTGACAGGAAATATATTGGAGTACTGCACTATTGAATAACTATGTAGTAAAATTATCATTTTAACATATCATTTTTCCACAATTCTTCATTTATTGTACTTGGTGATTATTCATAATACCTTCGCATAACCGATATGGAGGATTGTGGTATCATGGATTCCTCTCACTTCTATCCGAAATATATGAATTGTACCATGGTAAACCCCGTAATACTCACAATCTTGGCCATGATAGCAGGGGAGTATGGGAAAAGTAAATTTAATGGTAAATGGGATATAGTACAGTAAA